TGCTGCAATTACTTTTGAGTTTAATACATTTAGTATATTTCTTTTGTGGATCATAATAAGCTGCTTTAACATCATTTAAATTTTTAGAACCATCGGTATAAATAACATAAAATTCTGATTTCTTATTTAAAAATTCTGCAAAGTCATATTTGTTATATATTAAATCTAAATGAAATGTAGTGTCAAGGAACAGATTAGTGAATTACATATACATTTGTATACTGGCCATTTGTCATTTATATATATTCCACCTGTAGCATTTTTAACATGTGTCATTATTATTGAAATTTCAGGTATAATGATCCCAAAACAATAACAGATGACATGGGGGAACCTACAACTAATCAGGAAAGCTAAAAAGATATAAAATATTTTAAGCACAATACTATTACTTAAAGAGAATTCTTTTATACAAAATCTTTCAAGAAGTTGCAAACGTCTTAGAGATACAATGGAGGTATACAATTTTCAACTTCCATACTATTTATAGAAGGTGGAACGATAGCTCCACTCTGGACGATTCTCAACCCTATATTTTGTATAACATCTAATTTCCTCAACAACGTGGTACTAGCAGTCATATAGGCTAAACTACTATAATCAAAATGACTTCTGACTATGCTTTTATACAGTATATTGAGTGTTTTGGGATCAGAGCCCCAGTAAGTCCCTGCTAAACATCTTAAAATATTTATGCTCCTCATTGCATTTTGACAAATGTAATCTATATGTTTATCAAATTTTAATTTATTGTCCAAAACTATACCTAAAAATTTGTGTTGATGGACAATGGGTATTATTTTGTTATTATACATAATTTTAAGATTAGATTGTGTGAATGTATCTCTACTAAATACTAACACAGAGCTTTTTTCTGAACTGATTTCTAGTTTTAGAATATTTGAATAACACTTTTGTAATTGATTTAGTGCAGTATTTATATTATTTATAGCCAAAGGCAAACTTTGACTCTCAGTGTATAAAAGCAAATCATCTGCAAACTGTAGTATGTTAACTTTTGTAGTATCTCAGATGTATACAAGCCATACAATAGAGGGGACAGGGTTGCTCCCTGCATTGTTCCCCTGTTAACATATTTAGGTCCATGTAGGATATTATTATACTTAACATAAACAGTTCTGTTTTTTAAAAATTAAAATCCAGTTTAATATTTTGCAGGTAAAATTTAAATTATGTAGCACATGAATTAAGGATTCTATATTTACATTATCGAAAGCACCTTTAACATCTAAAAAATACACAAAACATTGAATGACTTAATTTTGCTTTTTTTAATAGGGATATAAGAGTTACAAAGCTTTCAGAACAACTTTTGCCTTTTCTGAATCCAAACTGAATATCTGGCAATTTATTCTGTTTCAGTAAAGTAGTCCAAACGTAATTTTAACATGTTTTCAAATAGTTTGCCTAGACACGATGACAAGGAAATGGGCCTATAAGATGATGCACAGTTAATATCCTTATTAGGTTTCAAAATTGGAATAACACACTGGGTTTTCCAGGATTCCGGTATTATTAAATTCTCCCAAAGTTTATTGTATATATCTAATAGTATTTTAATTGCATTTGGATGTAGCTGCTTTATTAATTTATATGTAATATTGTCCAAACCTGGTGTTGTATCTTTCCTACTCTTAAGCGAAATATGAAGCTCGGCCAGTGTAAAGGGTCTGTTGAGAAAGGAGTCACTGTCATTTTTATCAGATTGATTCAATATATCAACTAAATTTGCATCATTGCATTGTGATGGAGCTGTCAACATATCTAAGAAACTTTGTACCCAGTCATCATTAAAATTTTTGTTGGAAGATGTACCTATCCTTTTAAACTTTTTAATGGAACTCCATATTTTTGAAATAGGTGTCATTCTATTGAAGCTACTACACAACTCTTGCCAGGAATCTATGTTGTTCTCTTTAGAATTCTTTTTTTTTTAGCATCAACTTTTTTTATAATTTATGAAGTTAACAATTGTTGGGTAACTCTATATTGTAAAAGGGCTCTCTTAGACTGTTGAACAGCATCATCACATTTTTGTTCACCAAGGCACTGGTTTTCTTAAAGTGTGTATAGTTTGTTTAAACTTTGATTTTGGTACTGTCTTGTCTCTGATGTCATATAAAATATTAACAAAATTATTATAAAATTGTAATGGTGTGTCATTATTTACATTATTATGTACATTTAAGTAGGAAAAAATACTTTCTGATAAAGAAAAATATTTCGACCAGTCTGCTTTATTATATAAAAATTTTTCTTCTACAGGTCGGACCTCATACACTGTTGGCCTCACATTTACACTTACGTGAGTTGGATAGTGATAGCTGCCCATCGGGTCATCATGGACTTTCCACTCACAGAGAGGAGCTATTCGGGGACTAACTAATGTTATATCTATTGCTGATGCCTGCCTGTTTGGTGATTGAATGGTGGTGGTTGGACTACCATCATTTAACACACATAAGTCAAGTTCATCTATGAGATTGTATATGTTATTACCTCTACTATTGTTTGTATGACAACCAAACAAAATATGATGTGCATTAAAATCACCCATAATGAGACATGGCTTAGGAGCACTAAGTAGAACTTTTTCAGTTTGTTGGTATCAAATCTTCCATTAGGAGGACAATACACACATAGTATGTTTAATTTGCCTATGGATGTTTCTATTGCAATACATATATATTCTGAACTGATTCATAAAAAGTAGTAGTTATGATATTATATTTAAAATTTTCTTTTATTAAAATACCCACTCCATTGTGTGTATTTACTGAGTTTTTGAATATGAAATTATAGGATGTAAATTTAGGAATTTTACTGTTACTTTTAAGCCATGTCTCATTAATGAGACAGATATCAATATTTTGTTCATTCATGTATTTTTGCAACAGAGCTTTTTTACTCTGTAAGCTTTGTATATTAAACTGGGCTATATTTAAGTATGTATTCATTAAATTAAATTTGACAACAATATTTCTTTTATTGTCTTATTAGTTATTGACATTTTCTCTTTGTTGTTACCGAGAGCAACAAGAGATTTAACTAATGCATTAATTATAATTTCATTATTTACAATTTGATCTGCATTGAATGCAGTATTATTATTATTTACATTTTGTTTAAATTGTGAATTATATACATTTAAAGATTTCTCTAAAGTGGGATATACTTTGGGGTTGTACTACTTGAGGGCATACTCACAACAGCGGCATAGGAGTGATTGACATATTTACTTCTTTTTTCTTCAATTTTCTTCTTTTTAATGGGACAATCTCTCGAAATTGCTAAGTGGTTACCACTACAATTGATACAAACGATTTCTTCTACATCACATTCTTTGTATGAGTGTTGACCAGCACATGATGAGCACATCTGTGAGCTACGGCATACTTTAGCTGAATGGTTAAACTTCAGACATTTGTAACATTGGACTAATGGTGGAATATAAGTGTGTACAGGATATCTAAATAATTGTATGTAGGCATATTGTGGTAAAGTGGTAGCTGCAAATGTGACGGCTACAGTGCCCAATGGAGATAGTTTTCCCTCTACTTTTTTCATAAAACGTTTGATGGATATCACTTCGGTATCACAACTAATACTTTTATAAATATCTTCGTTGGACATGTCTGTCGGTACGTATCTTATGATACCAGTTTTTTCTGTGATATATGCTGGTACAAAAGCCTTGAATTTATACTTGTTTAAAAAATTGTCCATTTTTAAAAAATTATTGGCTGGTGCGGGCTTTCGAAAGGTCACACCTATTTTATAGGCGTTTACTCTGTGTACACCTGCAATGCCTTTCACATTTTCGGTGAATAACTTTGTTAAAGTAATGGGGTTTTTATTCCCTACTTTTTCATTTTCTGTAGATTCTACATAGACAACACAATCTACACTATGATTTTCAGGAAACTGTCTTTTGTAATTGGGTTTTGTATACATTTTATAGTCCTCGGATATAATTAAATGATTCGGCGACATCTTCCGTTTTTTGCCGCGTTGACTTTTTCCACGGTCGACGGGGTTTCCCCCGTCGCTACTATCACTCATTTTCTTTGCTTGATTTATTATTTAGGTATTTACAATAAGATATACAATATTTACAATAAAATTACAATTAAAATAAAAAATCAAAAAAGGAGAAAAATTTAAAACACCCGCTCAATTTGACTTCCCGCCAAAGTCACTGTCATTGCAAAATCAATGGGTTACCATTTTTTAACATCCGAGGTTTACTACCAGCTCTACTTTGCTGTACTTCTTATGAACATATGGAATATTATTTCTAGTGTAACAATAACATTGTAGAGATAGTAGAAACTCATGGTATACTTTGTTTGATTAACTAATTTCTATTTTATGTATTGCTTTAAAAAGCTAAAAATAAATTATCCGTCTCTATATAAGTTTGTATATAGTTCTGTTGACGAAATGTGAATAATGCAGTTTTAATATTCATGTACTTTTTTATATAGGTTTTGTAAATAATTTATTTTGTTGTAATTATAGAATTATACAACAATATTTGACTATGAGATTGTACCTGATTAAATAATATTCTTTGCACTGAACTATTAAGAAACTCAAGAACAGTTTTTGCACTGTATGTCTATAAAACAAATACCTATTTAAAATAGACTATGACGACTATGACGACAGTAATGGAAACACCAATACATATATATACGCAAATTTTAAATTTTGTTGTGGAAACGTCCCTTAAAGTTATATAATATAATAAAGTTTCCGATGAAACAAATCGGTACCGTAGCTACTCCTTAAAGCTGGTAACATTATTTGAAAATTTGACATTCACACCTGTCAATTTAGCCTCCGGGATTTAAAAACTAACTATAAGGCAGGTATCTTATCTATTTGAATTTGAATTTTGATTAATTTCTGATTGTCTTTTTCATTTTATTTAATATTTTAATCAATTATATGTAGGGTATGTAATTATTAAAGTTAATTTTAGAAGATGGATTTAAAAGAAAATTCCTCTATATTAAATTCTGTTACGAAAGTTAGCCAAGATTTATGAAATGATATACGCTTGAGGTTTATTAATTTTTTTTATGTATACCTATTTTAATTCCTTGTGCTGATGATGTAATTATATAATAGATTATTAATTACAGCACCAACGACCAACAAATCTCAGAGAACAAATCCAAATTTGAACAAACAAATTCTTCAGTGTAAGTTTATTTACAAATATAGTTTAATATATAAAATTTAATACATTTACAATACATCGTTTTGGACAAATACTTAAAATTTTTAGTTTCTCTATATCAAATCTATACATATAAATAAAATTAGAGTATCTGTTTGTAACATTGAAATAACTGTTTTTTAATACATGCATACGAATATAAATACGGTACATACACCAAAATAACAATTTTTGTCTGTCTGTCTGTTTGTTCTGGCTAATAAAAATTATTGATTAAATTCAGTATATATAACTTTATTTGGGTCAAGGAACATGTTTTGAATGTACAATGAAATTACTTAATTAAGAATACAGTATATTTATTTCTTACTAAATGTTCCCGCGACTTCGTCCGCATGGAATTATACTATATTTTTCTAAAATAAATGTAGCTCTAAGATTACTACTTATTACATTAGATACCTGCCAAAAAAGTCCCGTTCAAATTTGTCCAGCCATTTCAGAGATTAGCCGGAACAAACAGACAGACAGACAGGCAAAAATTTTAAAAAGTGTGTTTTTGGTGTATATACCTTATTATATTCATATGTTTGTAGTAAAAATGGTTATTTCAATATTACAAACAGACACTCTAATTTTATTTATATGTATAGATTGTATGGCCAAAACAATTAATCACATTTATTTTTAAGTAATCATAATTATAGTTAACAATATAATTGGCATGTAAAATTATAAGCAATATAGCACCAATTGCTATAGCATTGCTAAAAAATTACCAATATGAGTTAAATAATATAAAAATTGAGTACTTGTAAATATCCCGACTACATAGACTTACAAATGTTCTCAAAGAAAAATCTATTATCCCCAATCATCATTTCGGATTTCGAAAAGGACATTCCACTGTTGAACAAGTTCATAGAGTATGCAGAAAAATTAGAAAAACTTATGAAAAAAAAGGAAAAAAGACTGCACCTCAGGATTTTAAGAAATCCTTGCAGTAGTACCACAGGGCTTTGTACTAGCGCCTGACTTACACAATTTGTACACACCCAACTTAGCTTAAAGTACTGAAATTACAACAGCAATATTTGCTGATGATGCAGCCTTCCTTGCTTCGAGTCAATATCCACTTGAGGCTTCCAACATCTTACTTGTTTAATTTAGAAACATGAAATAATAAGTGCTTACTTTTAATAAATATGAAGTAAACGTTTGTAATATGGTGATGCAAATGAAAAAAGTGCCATCTAGTAGTCATAGTTTGGAAACATAAACGCAAAGTTGAAACAATGCAAAATTTACTCCATTATATCATTCTAACAATTTATTGACTTTTTAAATATAGATTATATGTTTTGAATGTTTGCATGATATTAAGTAATTCATTTGATTGCAATGACGCTATCTATATTCTGTTTGTTCCAAGCGAGAACCCACAGTAGGAGATGGTAGCCTGTGGTCTGAGTAAGTTGATAAAGTAAAAAGCTGTCTATGAACCGATTTTAAATTAATTTATATTTGTCTGTAATCTAGTCCTTATTTATAATATAATAATAATACGTGTATTTGTTAGTTACACAATACACATTCCCACCTGTAATGCACAAACAACTTGATAAATTAATATGACAAAGAATTATTTGATATAAAGGATGAATTGTAACCTATTGGATTTAAAAAAAAAACCTGAAAGTTATGAAATGAAAAATAAAAAAGTTGTATCCCATAGATACAATAAATAATTTGAAAATTGTAATATGCCCATAGACATTTTTTTTAATAACTTGAAAGTATACTTTGGGCATTCCATAACTGTCATATTTTTGAAATGTTTACTGTTTAAAACTGTATAATTCGTTATAGGTCAGTCCAGAAGAACTGCCTGCATCACCAAATGTATTACCAAGAAAATATGTTATCAACCATCCAGTTGAAGAACAAAGTAAAGCAAACAAAAATCAATCAATAATGACTCAATTGATGCATTTGATGTTAGTACTGTTTTATTAACTACTAACTGTTCCTGCGCCTTTGTCCGCACTTATCCGCGACCACCCGACCGGACTCGACCCGCGACACCGCGAATCTAATTTTATATTTCTAAAATAAAAGTAGCCTAAGTTACTCCTAATTATATCAGCTATCTGCCAAAAAAAGTCCTGTCAAAATCGGTCCAGCCATTTCAGAGATTAGCCGGAACAAACAGACGGACAGACAAAAATTCTAAAAAAATGTCTTTTTGGTGTATGTACCGTGTTTATTTTCATATGCATGTATAAAAAACGGTTATTTCAATTTAACAAACAGACACTCCAATTTTATTTATATGTATAGAATTAATTATGAAAGCCGCAAAGATATGTTATCGATTATCTGTACGTGACGTTTTTGCGATAAAAACTATTATTGGCGGTCTTTATGCACATAACATTCATGGCCTCGATGGTCTAAAGTGTACCACACTGCTTTATTTCCTATTAACGCGGGTTCGCTTTCTAACATGGTACAAATATTTATTTCCATGAGTGCCTATGATTGTTCGTATTGGTTTGTGTGTTTTCTATGTATATTATGTATGGATTAGAAATGTATCTAAGGATATCTATCAGTTGTCTAGTACCCATAACACAAGCTCTAGCTTGGGACTAGATGCTGTGTGAATTGTCCTAAGATATTATTATTACATATATGTGTCTACACGTAATAGATATGTGATAAGTAATGAAAAACTAAGAATAGTAGAAATAAAAATATTGCGAATATATTGAGATGGTAAATGAATATTTATGTATGTATCACAATAAACTGTAATTATGTAGGCCTCGGACGGAGGAATTAAAAAAAACAAATTTACTTTATGCTAATTGAATGTAAAAGTATTAATGATAATCTGCAACTTAATAATAATTATCCTACTTACTGTTCACTCCGAAGTCAGGTATGTGAATGAGCTTAAATTTATTTAATTACTAAATAACTCGTAATATGAAGAGTCGTTGTTAAGTAAGTTTCCCTGGTCAGCGTTTTCGACTCGTGGTGCTATCCTAGTAACTTTCAAGAATATAGAAATTATTTCATGAAATTTGCTACACCGATAGTCTAAATGCTGAGAAAGGACATAGGTTACCTATTAATGAAAAAGGTTTGTAAGGGGTTTGAAAGAGGAGATGAAAGATTGTATGAAAGTATCGTCATTTTTAAAGCTAGAAGCTTGAAACTTATTTTTTAGGCTGTATATTGAAATATATATATAAACTAACTGTAACCTGTGCGAAGCCGGGGCGAGTAGCGAGTATAATATAATGTCACTTTGTTACACATTCACACCTATAATACGCAACCTGATAAATGAATATGGCATAAAGAAATAATGATATAAGGGATCAATTGGAAATTGGATTGAATTTAAAAAAAGACCTGATTGTTATAAAATGCCCTGGATAAAACTTTCCTAGTAAATAACTTGAACATTGTGATATGCTCATAGACAATTTTTTTTATTAATTTGAAAGTAGACTATGGGCATTCCACAACTTTTATGTTTTTGAAATGTACACTGATTAAAGCTGTATAATTTGTTACAGGCCAGTTCAAAAGAACTGTCTACATCACCAAATGTATTACCAAGAAATTATGTCACCAACCATCCAATTGGAGAACAAATTAAAACAGACAAAAATCAAAGTGTATGTAATGACTCCATTGATCCATTTGATGTTAGTATTATTTTTATTATCTGTTTATTTAATTTTAATTACAGCCACAAAGGTATGTTATAATAATCTGTACACATATACGTCATATGCGATAAAAACTATTATTGGCGGACTTTATCTACATAACAATGAATGTTGTGTAGGTAATAGGACCTCAGTGGTCTAGAGGTTTACCGCATACACCGTATTTCTGATTATCGTAGGGTTCGATTTCTAACACTGTACAAAGATTTATCTTCATGCGTATGATTGTTTGTATTGGTCTGGGTGATTTCTATGTATATTATGTATGGATTAGACATGTATATAAGAGTATGTATCAGTTGCCTAGTACCCGTAACACAAGCTTTAGCTAGCTTAGCTTGGGACTAGATGGCGCTGTGTGAATTGTCCTGAGATATCTGGACACGCGGTAGCGTGTCAAGCCGAGTTTCAAGTAAAGAGAACTGGCGAACAGCACCGTGTGTATATTTACACGAACCATTTGGAGCCACTTTTGTCCCCCTCATAACTCAAAAACTCTTTCACATAAACCTGTCAAATTTGGTTCATATATTGAGACTTGCGAGATAAATATGTGTTCCAAATTTCATAAACATATCTCAAACGGTTATTTAGATATTAACGTCCAAATATCGTCATTTTTATCACTGATCAACTATAGATCAAAATTATAACCCACTTTCAGATGACCTAGGAAGTTCAAATTTGGCATGCAGATAGGTAATTAGGTGAATATAAAGGAAAAAATGAAACTGGTAAATTGTTATAATTTTTATTATAATTGTAATATATAATAATAATAATAATAATACTTTAATTGATTTTATTTCATCTATAATAGATTACTAAAAATTCTATGAAAACGTCGATAGCCACCAAATAACTTTGATCCATCCTGGCTACGGTACGTCATCTTGTACTGGACGGTAAGTAATATTGTAGAAAACGTCGATCATTACCAATTTACGTTAACCCTTCATCAGTGTCGATAACTAGCAAACTTCAAATATTGCATTGAGCGGTAAACACTAGTTGCTATAATTTTGATTCTGTCTAGAATATACTCGTACTTATAACTAAGAGTATAGTCAATTTCGTATTTATTATGTTATTAATACAGAATTTGAAATTATTAATTATTGTTGCAATATTTGGCGTACATCGATACTCAAACATTTAAAAGTTACAGAAAATAACTATAAAAGACAATTATACCCCGTAAACATACGAAAACACAGTAGTTTATCAAAAATAATTTGGTATTAATTTAGTTATAAATAAATTGCACATAATATAATTTACGTACAAAAAGTAATGATATCCCATCAAAAACATAAATGTGAAATGATAGCCGAGTTTAATATTATGATATATTACCTTGATTGTTGAAGCTTCTACGGCAAAGAAATTGAGATCTAAATGGGTGTCAAGTTCAATGGTCTGACCTGAAATGTATTTATAACAATATATAATATCATTTCTTCTTACATGCAAGCTAATATACTGTAGCCTAAGGTCCTAACAACTGAATTTTCATATACGAAATATACTGTAGCCTTCGCAAGTTCTAAACATGTTACTTGTCGGTTCCTATTTTATTATTAGTAGTAACTAGCAATCGAAAGTAATAATTGGTATATGAGAACTGGCCAAGTTAGACCTTAGGCTACAGTATATTATACTAAGTTATAACTTATAAGTTAGTATTGTAGAGTAACCTAAAGTCGGTTTTTTTTAATATAATATATTTACTTAATCAAAGTATGTATCATTGCGATTTATGCACTTTGCCATCTCATAGGTAGTTCATTGATCCCTTTCCTAAAAAAAACTATTCGGACAAGAATCAATAAAATCTTTGAAAGTACTTTGGACTGTTCCATCGGAATTGAATTTTTTGCCATGCAAGAAATTATCCAAATTAAAAAAAAAAAATGATAATCTGTTGTGGATGTCTTAGACATTCGAATTGAAGCTCTTGTAATTTGGTAACTGTCTGTTGCGCAGTGTGTGGGCTAACGTTGTCCTGAAGCAGCAGTAGCCTAGGGCGATTGACCAGCCTCGGTTGTTTAGCAGCTAGCTTTTGCATTATAGTTTGCAATTGCTGACAATACACATCATAATAAATAGCCTTAATAGTCTGGTCCATATCTAACAAAGCCGAAATGAACAACACCGGCACTAGTCCACCAAATGCTCACAAATAACTTTTTTTTTGAGTCAATTTTCGCTTGGAGCAGGATTCGGCTGGTTCGCTAGGATTCCAAACGCTCACAAACTTTTTTTGAGTCAATTTTCGCTTGGAGCAGGATTCGGCTGGTTCGCTAGGGATTCCAAACGCTCACAAATAACTTTTTTTGAGTCAATTTTCGCGGAGCATGGATTCGGCTGGTTCGCTAGGATTACAAACGCTCACAAATAACTTTTTTTGAGTCAATTTTCGCTTGGAGCAAATTCGGCTGGTTCGCTAGTGTATTCCAAACGCTCACAAATAACTTTTTTGAGTCAATTTTCGCTTGGAGCAGGATTCGGCTGGTTCCCTTAGATTCCAAACGCTCACAAAATAACTTTTTTTGAGTCAATTTTCGCTTGGAGCAGGATTCGGCTGGTTCGCTAGGATTCCAAACGCTCACAAATAACTTTTTTTGAGTCAATTTTCGCTTGGAGCAGGATTCGGTTGGTTCAGGATTCCAAACGCTCACAAATAACTTTTTTTGAGTCAATTTTCGCTTGGAGCAGGATTCGGCTGGTTCGCTAGGATTCCAAACGCTCACAAATAACTTTTTTTGAGTCAATTTTCGCTTGGAGCAGGATTCGGCTGGTTCGCTAGATTCCAAACGCTCACAAATAACTTTTTTGAGTCAATTTTCGCAGGATTCGGCTGGTTTGCCAACATTCAGCCAATTTTTTTACTTGAACACTAATCAATATCATACAGATTAAAGGTGACAGATAAAATTGATAAGATTTATTATCGCATGGTCTCCTCCAAAGGTAATGCGTCTCTAATATATATAAACTAACTGTACCCGCGACTTTATCCGCATAAAATAGTGACCAACCAACCTTGAAATACCTTGACCAACTAATAAAAGAATTTTTCGTAATCTAACCCAATAAAAAAGTTTCATCGTTAATTATGTTCATATTAGTTTCAAAAATGAAAACTTTCATATAGAATTCTATGCAACTCTATCAACATAAGCCTAAAAATAAGTAGCAAGCTTCTAGATTTGGTATCAATTTAAAATTAACAGTTTAACTTTTCAAATGGTACCATTTTTATTATTCCTAACTAGTTATTAATTACTAAAGATCGCGCGGAATCAATTCCAAGTAAGTGATTCCATACTTTTGCTGGCGAATGTAGTTAGACAGAACCATCTCGTGTTGCTTTCCTTTCTAGTTGCTAGTTAGATTTCCAATTTTTCACCCCAAAACCTCGGGACCCCAAAGACTGAATCGCAGCAATCTTATAGGAAAAAAATAGTAGATAGCTAATGTTAGAAATATAAATTATATAGAATAGGTAATAATTTTAAAACTTTTAAGTATACTTCCACATTTTGATGGCAAATCCTAATTCCGTCGCGTCCTTATGGCAACACGTAGGAATATTCACGTGTACATGATGGCTGAATGCCCGAAGAACCCAGTGGATACATCAGAGTGGTGACATATTACAGTAATATTGAAATCCGCAGTATTAACTTCATTATTCTGAAATTAACTTAATTTTTCTAAAATAAAAGTAGCCCTAAGTTACTCTTTATTACATCAGCTACCTGCCAAAAAAAATCCCGTCAAAATCGGTCCAGCCATTTCAGAGATTAGCCGGAACAAAGAGACAGACAGACAAAAATGGTAAAAAATGTTATTTTGGTGTATGTACCGTATTTATATTCATATATGCATGTAGTAAAGAACGGTTATTTCAATATTACAAACAGACGCTCATTGTTAGTATTATTAGATTATTTTCTCTAGGTTTTATTCTTGGATATTATGGTTACTGAAAGTTTTATTAGAAGGAGAAAATACGATATCGATGATTGAACTATTGAAGTGACATTTTCAATAGTTTATGATGATATGTTATGACCCGTAAATCTCTATGGAGGCTTTAGTAAGGAAGTAGAATATTGTAATAGTTGTGGAAGTTTTCATCAGGAGGAGAGAGGCTCAGATCGATGAATCTGATGAGGTCACATTTTCCATAAGTTGAGGATGCCGGGTCATAGCTCGTAATGAAGGTTTTAGACGACGATCCCTGTGGAGATTTCTACAACCAATAGGGACTTCAGTTTAGATGATATCTATATGGTTATCTAGGTCTCACACCATAACCTTTATTAAATGTGCGTTGTATGTGTGGTGTATCAATATAGAGATATGTTACTACCCTGGACATATGGCATTATATAGGTAAAGGTTTAGGACACATCACATTTATTATATAACACAAATTATTACACTGCACAAATATGTATAATTATATATAATAGATGAATTAACCCGTACTGAATATTATTTATATTAACCATCTGAAGCAGTAGCAATGCTGTTCAATATGACTCCCTTTTAGATATAGAGATATATTTTGCTTTCCGTAAGTAGTGGAATTACCAAATTATAAAATAGAATTATCATATTGAAGTTATACAAATGCAGTTATGAAAATACATCACATTGAGATTAGGCTTGAATACTAAGGGCATAACCTAACGTTTCTGTTGAGAATATTCTACTTGAATAGTATTAATAATTAGGGTTGTAATATATTACGTTAATTAATAGTTTAGTAAAGTACGTTTAGTAAAATAAAGTAAAATTCCACGCGAACGAAGTCGCCGGTACAGCTAGTTTAATATAAATCGGTTCCGTAGTTTTGGCGTGAAAGCGAGACAGACAAGTTACTTTCGCATTTATAATATTAGTAAGGATGTACAAATAAAGCATTATTATTTTCTATAAATTATAAAAATATT